AGCTGCCAGGGGGCTGGGAAGGGACTCAGAGGAGCTTGGGGAGGGTGGAACCGGGGTCTGAGCTGCCAGGGGGCTGGGCAGGGGCTCAGGGGGGTCTGGGGGGTGATGGCACCAGGGTCTGAGCCCGGTTTGTGTCCCCAGAGGAGAGCGGGGCGGAGGAGGCGCGGGCGGAGGCGCAGCCGGCCGAGGAGAAGAAGGAGGCGAAGGTAAAAGGGGTCTGGGGGTGTGGGGGGCGAACGGGGCAGAATTTGGGTGCCCACGGGGCTGGTCCTTCCCCAGGAGCCCAGGGATGGCACCGCCGAGGAGGAGACCAAGGAGAAACCCGGGGAAACCCCCAAGAAGGAGGAGGAGAAGGGGAAGGAGGTGGAGAGCGAGAAGGAGCCCGACAAGGGCGACGGTGACAGCACAGGTGAGCGGGGACCCGGCGGGGCCGGGGGGACACTGAGCCCCCCCAGCACCGCTGACACGACCCCACCCGACCACAGGGGAGCCCGAGAAGGAGAAGGAGGTGAAGGAAGGGCCGGATGAGGCACCCAAGGAGCCCCCAGAGCCCGAGGCCGAGCGCAAGGCCAAGGTGGAGCGGGACATCGGCGAGGGGAACCTGTCCACGGCCGCCGCCGCCGCGCTGGCCGCCGCCGCCGTCAAGGCCAAGGTGAGGCCCGGGCTCCAGGCTGGGCTTCCAGCAGGGTGGGGACACGCCAGGTGTGAATTGTCACCCCTGCCATCGTCACCTGGCAGCACCTGGCGGCCGTGGAGGAGCGCAAGATCAAGTCCCTGGTGGCGCTGCTGGTGGAGACGCAGATGAAGAAGCTGGAGATCAAACTGCGGCACTTCGAGGAGCTGGAGACCATCATGGACCGCGAGCGCGAGGCCGTGAGTGCCCGGCGAGGGTGACACCTGCTTGTCCCCACCCCTCATCGCCCCGCTGACCCCTCCCCTCTTTGTCCCTCCCAGCTGGAATACCAACGGCAGCAGCTGCTGGCCGACCGCCAGGCGTTCCACATGGAGCAGCTGAAATACGCCGAGATGCGCGCCCGGCAGCAGCACTTCCAGCACCTGCAGCAGCAGCAGCAGCAGCAGCAGCCCCCGCTGCCCCCCGGGGCACAGCCCCTGCCCGCCACCGGTGCTCAGGGATTGCGGTTGGGTGGGTGAGGGGGGGTCTCGGGTTGGGGTCTGTCACTGGTGCTGGGGGTTTGGGAGTAGGGGTGTCACTGGTGCTGAGAGTTTGGGGGTGGGGGTCTCACTGGTGCTGAGAGTTTGGGGGTGGGGGTCTCAGGGGTGCTCTCCCACAGCCCCAGCTCCAGTGGGTGGCTGATTAAGGGTGGGGGGTCTCAGGGGTGCTCTCCCCACTGCCCCAGCACCAAAGGGTGGGTGAATAATGGTGGGGGTCTCATGGGCACTCTCCCCACGTTGAGTGGTGCATGAATAAGGGCAGGGGTCTCACAGGCACTCTCCCCATAAGGGTGGGGGTCTCACAGGCACTCTCCCCATAAGGGTGGGGGTCTCACAGGCACTCTCCCCACAGCCCTGTCACCGAGGGGTACCTGATTAAGGGTGGGGGTCTCACGGTGCTCTCCATTGCCCCAGCCCCAAGGGTTGCCTGGATAAGGGCAGGGGTCTCCCTCTCCCCACAGCCCCAGCTCCGAGGGGTGGCTGAATAAGGGTGGGGGGGTCTCACTCTCCCCTCTGTCCATAAGGGCAGGGGTCTCACGGTGCTCTCCCCATTGCCCCAACCCCAAAGGTTGGCTGATTAAGGGTGGGGGTCTCACAGTGCTCTCCCTGTCTCCTCATAAGGGTGGGGGTCTCACTGTCCCCTCTCCCCATTGCCCCAACCCCGAGGGGTGCCTGATTAAGGGTGGGGGTCTCACGGTGCTCTCCCCACATTGAGTGGTGCCTGGATAAGAGTGGGGGTCTCACTCTCCCCTCTCCCCCTAAGGTTGGCTGATTAAGGGCGGGGGTCTCACTGTCCCCTCTCCCCCCAGCCCCGAGCAGTGCCAGGATAAGGGCGGGGGTCTCACTGTCCCCTCTCCCCCCAGCCCCGAGCAGTGCCAGGACAAGGGCGGGGGTCTCAGTGTCCCCTCTCCCCGCAGCCCCGGTGCCGTTCCCCGGGCAGCAGCCGCCGCCGCCGCCGTCGCAGAGCCTGGCGGGGTCCCTGGCCGGTGGCAGCAGCAGCAGCAGCAGCAGCGCCCACCCCGCCGTGCCCGGTAATTGCACCGTGCCCGGTAACGCCACCGTGCCCGGTAACCCCACCCTGCCCTTCGGCCTGCCCGTGCCCACCGTGCCCCCCGTGCCCCCGAGCATGGCTAACCCCCCGCCCTGCGACCCCTTCCCCTCTAACCCGGCCCCCCTCCCGCTGCATGGGGCCCTGGCCAGCAGCATGCCGGGGGTGGGGGGGCTGCCCCCCAACTCCCACCCAGCCCTGCCGCCGCTCCCGGGGGGCTCGGCCGCCGCGCACAGCCCCGCCATCGTGGCCGCCGTGCAGGGAAACCTCCTTCCCACCCTGGCAGGTGAGACATTTTAGGGCTGTTTTTTTGGGGGGGGGTCGCACGGAGGGAGGAGGGGAAGGGGCGGCGCTGGCTTGTGCCCCCCCTCCCCAGCTC